AAGAATGATATTTTTAACAACAAATTCTCCCGAATATTCCAAAAGCTCGTGACGGCTGTTAATTCAGAGAAAGTTTCCATTGTTTTTCGCCCAGTATGGCTAATTTTATCTTGCCATGCAAATCTGAATTTACTCTTTGTTAATTTTTTGGGGCATTGATGTTGAAATCAAATACATGAATATTTTGTAGCGGATGCGGAAACTCTGTAGTCTTTAGTTAACTTCTGACTAATGTTATAGCCTCCATAACTTATATACAACTCTATAATTGGCTTGTTTTCTTTAGATTCGGAAGCTTCTTCAAGCGACACCATAACGAGCAACGGGGAAGGTCGAAGAGGTAAACCTCCTCCTGATCGACATGAAATATATCACATCAAAATGCCCGAGGGCAATACCGCTCGCACAAGGCAGATTATGCAGAATGCAACTATGATGCGCAAGCATGGTTTGTTCGTTTTAAGAAGTCTTTGCTAATTTCTGCGTGGGTTATCTTAAGGTACAATCTAATATACACTAGTGTTTAAAATGTGAGATAATCAGGTATGCATTTTTGCTCCTTTAGCTAAGGTGGTCGCGTCCACGAGTGGTTTAGTGTTAATTATTATGCTTTATGGGTCAAGTTATCTCATTCTTTCTTTACATGAACTATGATGGCGCTCATTATTTTTTTTGGCTAAAGTGCAATGGAACATAGAAAAATTAAACCGCAAGATTACGCGTTTCTATACTGCTTCTTTTATGTTCTTTCCTTTTGTATGTTTGTTTCCTCATTTTGTTGTGGCGAAGTGGTTTCTTCTTAGGATTAGCTGTTCGCGGGACTACCGGTGTTCGTCAAGGTGGCAGATCTGTAAGCCCGATCGACAAGAAAAGCGCTGCAGTTATGCGTATGCGTCAAGAACGAGGTAGGTGGCGTCTTCTTATGTTTTAATGTAGTAGAGATGCCTTAAGATAAGCTTTGACCACTAATAACACGGTTCAAAACTGATGTGGCATTTGAAAATGCAGTTTATGTGTATTGCCCTACCAAGCAAGTCTTGTTTTTAAATCTGTTCTTCACAACGCGAATTTAGCGAAACTTCAGCTTTAGTTTATACAGAGCCGAAGCCAAAGGCGTCATGTAAGTAAATGTATTGATACAAGTTCTTTCATTGCTTTTCACTTCGAATTTTCGTGAGATAACAGTGAATATAGAAGTTATGAATAATTTGTGAATATTGATTCTAGTCAAGGCAGTCACTCCATTTACAGAAGAACCGCCAGGTAGTGATCCAATCATATCGCGTTTGGGTGTACGAGGATTGCACTCGGATTTAACCGCTAGATCAACTCTGAACAAAGTGCAGAAGCGAAGGTTTGTAAACTATTCTGTTTCGATTTTCTTGGAAACTTACCAAGTAAATGTGAACCTCTTTTTGAGAATAGCATATGTAAGCACAAAATGTTGAGATATGTATTTTCAAATACTTTAATTTTCTAAACTCCAAAAATAATTTTTTGAAAAGATCATTGAAGAGATCATGTAAAGTGCAGTGAGAACCCCTTTA